CCAAAACTTTCAATATTCCAAGAAATGAAAAACCGCATTTTCTTTATATGCGTTGTTTATATACCTTCCTTACTAATAGAGCTAGAGATATAAAAATCTACAGTAATAATCATCTAGTTGTAAGAGATTAAATGTTAAATGTTTGAGCTTTTACGAATTGGCATTAAGAAAGAAAAGCATTTTGTTTCCAGAGGGCCCAAAATTTATTGATCACCCTTTGGTTGCGGCGTTTCGATTGTTTTGACGGAAGTAACATCAGACATTTCGTATGTGAATCAAATAGACAAAATATTCCTCTTCAAAATGACACAAGAATGAGCCTCATTCATTCATTTGTGAGTGAGCACCGTTCATTTTACAAACAGCTCCAAAATACAGATCGAGAAAACTGAAAAAACATTCACAGGGCTTTTGCAAAATTATTGAAAACACGGAAATAACGACAGAAAATTAGCATTATAGCCATTCGATAGAGAATTCCAAGGGCAACATTTTTGCCTATTTGATGTGGGCATAACGCATACATTCAAGCTTATACTGACGAAATATATTCTTCGTTTTTGGGACATTTCGATTTCGGTTCAATTACGACGGCATCTCAACTCTCTGGATCATCTCCTATATACCATTTTGTAGAGAATTAAATGGGGAAACTTTTGCAAAAAGCAGCTGAATCTTATTATATGTATTTCATATAGATAATGTCAATTTACAGAGAGGGTCCAAAACTTATGGATCACCCTGTAGTCAAACCTAAGAGAAAAAGAAAATAGATTTTCTCTACAACGGCTCAATGTTTCCCAAAAAGGATACATAATTTTTTCCTCACAAGTTTAGTGATTAGAATGAAATAAGAAAGAACGCTTAGTCTCTCAATGAATATAGATTAGATAGGTTTTTGTATGGTGGACAGTGACCATATCGCGGTTCTGCTCGTATTTAACGATTCTAGGAGCATTTTAGACTTTATTCAGCTTGAATATAGTTTTTTTATACTCAGTTTTGAGTGAAGAATCTGAAAAAAATATCCTGTAGAAACTTTGAATTATCAGTACCTTACTTTCGCATCGTAATCAGAGCTAGCAGATAATTACTGTAAATTACTATTGATGTAGATATCGTCTCCTTAAATTGTTCAAATCAATGTTGTCTCAATAAAGTATAGATAATAATAAAAAATATGCAGGAAACATACTGAAAGACGAAAGTGTCATGTAAGACATGTAATTGAAATGTTCACGTTCTGTATGTGACAATAGCCGATCTTTTCGGTCGAACATAAACAACTCTTTTTGGTTGTTGTACATACTCGTAGTAGGTATTATCATCTTCCTCATACGGTTGTTCAAGGTGAGGTGGAGTCACTTTATAAACCTTTTTTTTAGAAACCGGTGAAAGAACAAGTGGTTTTCGTATAGTATTCACAGGTTCATCGTCATAATACTCATCTGGATAGACATGTGGCTGTTGCATTTTCATGACCACTGGTTTTATTTTTTTCATTGATATTCCAAATGGAGTAGAAGGTAGAAGATCCGTTCGAACTGGTCGACGCTCAATCTGATTCTTATTTCTTGATGGTCTTGGAGACTCCTCAATATGTTCTGTAGGAGGCGTTTGTTTTCGTTGTATGGCTTGTGGTTGAATAAACTGGTTTACTCTCGATGGCCTTTTTGCGCCTACAGACGATGATGTACTCCGAGGACTATCATAGATAGACGTGTCTTTCATCGGAATTATTGGTCGTTCATCCGGATCCAACGGCTCATTTGTGCGTTGAGACTGTTGTATTAGATGGTTCTGCGTGGATTCACGTTGAGGAGCTGGGGACACGTAAGGCTTCATCGTCGATTCATCCGATTTGTAAGCTGGGGGCACATAAGGATTCATCGTCGATTCATCCGGTTTGTAAGCTGGGGGCACATAAGGATTCATCGTCGATTCATTCGGTTTGTAAGCGTACATTACAGGAACATCTTGAGACTGTTGAGGAGGATTGAATGCTCGAATGCTTGGTTGCTGAACATTTGGCTGAATAGTAGCAATTGGAACTTTATAAATAATGGGCTGTACGGCAATCGGAGGCATCTGAACGTCGACAGGAGCACGCTGAATGGTCACGTGTAAATTGGACGGAAGTTCGGACTGTGTAAGTGTCGGCATTCTATGCTCTATTTCTCGTGGATCGTATGCATTAACGGGATGACGTCGAATTGTTAAAGTTGGAGAAAATGAGTCATATGGCTGAAGTGGCTGAACTGGCTGAACGTAGTTTTGTTGATACGGTTGTTCATTCAAACCGGCAATGTATTGTGCTGTACGATCCATTGCTGGATCAATTTCTGGTGATTGTCGGTGAGGATGAATATGATGATGAACATGCTGGTGATGCCGATGGTCGTTTTCTTGCTGTGGTTCATGATGGTGATTATGATGATGATGGTGACGATGTGACTTTGGTCTTCGGTACGATTCATTCAGGGGTACATAATCATAATCATCAACATCGAAAGCATTCGTGTCTATAAGAAGAAATAAGTAGAAAATAAAATATTAGTAAACATTAAAGAAATTAAACAATTTAATGATATTTTTACAATTCATGCAGATTTGAACAAAAGACATACTTCCAAAAATTATGATAAAATTAAAAACAAAAATCGACCTTACTCGGATATGCCATATCTACTAAGAAAAATAAATCCTAATTTAATAGTGCTTTGCTTTATGTTTCGAAATTTTTTGATCGATGTCAATTTTCCTCTAGTTCGCTATGTTCGTATAAAATTTTATTGTTTACTTTCAAGAATGTATATTCTATAAATATTTTTTTAAATTCAATGGCTGTTATTGAGTGGAGCATGGAGGATCATTTTAATGAGTAATGAAAAGAAGAAAAAAAATGTCTTGCGTTTCTTCTTATTACATCTTGTAACTATACTTCAAAAATAACTTGAATGAGTTTTCAAATAACTAAATATTCAAAGAATATTAACAACAAATGTGAATGACAGCATACCTTCATAATTTCAAAAATTGTCTCGTTAAAATGTAGGAAATGTGGAATATATTCGAGTTATTGTATGTTTTAATGAATAGTCCGTTATACCCCCCATAGAAGAAAAAAAATTACAAATTCAGATCAGATTCCTATTCAATTTTTATATAAAATTCACCAAGATATGTTAAGAATTTTGTACGAAACTTATAAAAATTTTGTGATACAAAAATTCATAAGAATTTGATAAGCTCTTATCTGTTTTTTCTTATTTCATTTTTACTAAAAGTTTGAAAGTTCTTTTCTATTTCAACTTTAATACAACTTTTAAAACAATTGGCTAACTGACTCAAACGTTCTTAAACGTTTGAGATAAGAGCTTATCAAATTCTTATGAATTTTTGTATCACAAAATTTTTATAAGTTTCGTACAAAATTCTTAACATATCTTGGTGAATTTTATATAAAAATTGAATAGGAATCTGATCTGAATTTGTAATTTTTTTTCTTCTATGGGGGGTATAACGGACTATTCATTAAAACATACAATAACTCGAATATATTCCACATTTCCTACATTTTAACGAGACAATTTTTGAAATTATGAAGGTATGCTGTCATTCACATTCGTTGTTAATATTCTTTGAATACTGAAAATCAGTTTTTCAGAAACTCTAAAAAAAGAACCAAAATCTTTCTTAATGAGGAATAATTGTAGTCCGCAAATTTCTGATTAAAATAAGACATATCCCAGCTCTACACGACCTTTCTTTGCGAAGTTATAGAATTTACAAGAAAAGCCCTAAATTGTCAGCTCAAAGCTACAGAAATAAGAAATTAATTTCTTGTTGGGCTTTTCTTGTAAATTCTATAACTTTGCAAAGAAAGGTCGTGTAGAGCTGTGAGATGTCTCATTTTAATCAGAAATTTGCAGGCTACAATCATGCGCATTATGAAAGATTTTGGTTATTTTTTAGAGTTCTTGAAAAACTGGTTTTTCAGAAAACCGGGACTTCAAGAGCCATGGGCACGAATCCTTTTAGAGTATTTACTATCTCGATATACTCTGTCGATTGAGATATGAATGAGTCAGAACTGGAGATGATACCTGGGAATGTTGTATATGCTCGATGCATCGAGCATATATAACATGCTCACATAATTTTGGAGTTCCTTGAAAATGTCACAGTCCGTTTCATCAAACGAGAGACTAAAATATATAGTTTTATAGCTTATTTAATTTTCTATCGATTAGCATACAACATTGAATCATATAGTTACCCTGAAGTAAAAAAATGTGCCAAACACAACCTCAAATAGTAAGAACTCTTTCTTCCCCCGTCTTTCTTTTGGAGCAAGCACAAACAATTCGATATTTTTCCGGATTTTGTTTTTTCAAAATTAACATTCTAGTCGGCTCACAGTACGCAGAATTTTATGGCGCATCTTTCTGTCATAACAGTTTTTTTTATTATAATGCATTGGATACCCGAAATCACAGGCAAGGTTTTAAAGAAATACCTTGTAGTAACAAAAATACACTATAATGGAGAAATCATTTTGGATTTTTTTTGGAATGGAGTACTCATTCAATCATCGAAAGAATTTTAGGGTATATACAACTTGGGTTACTCTATCGAATTATATAAAAATCGCGCATAAACCTTTACTTAAAACATTTTTCGAAAATTCATACCAATACACCAGAGGCATAGAACTTATAAAAGCCGTAACTCTGCCAAAACAAGTTCGTTTGCCGAAAAAATTTCAGGGTATATGCAGTTTCACTTTCTCTACAATCTAGTCAAAAAAATATAAGTCATGGGGGGTACACTCCCTTAAGTCGTTCTAAATTCTACAATATAAGAATATGACCGATGAATTTAACCAGGATCGCAAATAATGGGAGGGCATGTATACCGCCCTAATGTTCTGCTCCTATTTGCGGCCCTGAATACAACATTCAGCTATTGTCATGGATTTTACATGGTCATTCGGGATTTCTGTTATCCAAATACTCTTGTAAAATTAATTAAAAATGTATTATTTTATACAACAAATGGTTTGCTTTTTCCTAGTGACATTTTTGTCAAGAGAAAAAGTGTGATCTTCTCAGAATATGTATTAATTTTTGCATTAGTAATATCAAACAACGATGGCAACATGTCAGTATGAAAACATCAAAGATACTAGCGAGTTATATAATGTGATTGGTCGATGAACAAAGTGGAAAAGATCTGAAGGTATTAAGATCGGTTTATGATCAAAAATAGAACATAACTAATTTAGCTATGTACGATTGTACTAAACAATTTATATTATTCGATTAGAATATGAACCATATTGTACACTGTTCGTATCATAACTTAAGAATACTATTGATTCTCTTTCTTTTCGAGTACAACTATTTCATTTTTTTCATCATCTTCTTAGTTTTTTCATATATATATGTTTTTTCATAATATATGCTATACGTAAATCGTCTGTAATAGATATCTGCTCTGCGTTTTACTTTGTGAGAATGATAAATGTTTACTTTATACAACAACAACAATAACAACAATAATGAAAAGTATTATTACAAAGTTCCAACGTTTTCTAGAATAGCCTCTTTAATTTTAGTTTCTATTAATTGATCATTACAATAAACTTGTGTTCGATCGTATGTAACAATAATTTTTGCCAAATTATTATATTTAATCATTACACTTTTCTGTTGTTGAATATCCTCTCCTTGATGACTAACATCATCGTCACCGTTCTCCTCTTCATTGTAAACTGTTCTATGATGATCACGTATCTTTTTCACTTCTAATCCAAACAGACCACTTTTCTTTAACGATATTAATAATTTTTCAATATTTACTCGGCCATAAGTGATCATATCTTTCTTATTTTCGTCAGTGTCACTATTAGTTTGTTCAATATTATACACATGATCTTTCATATCAAGATGTCCATTTACACTAACAATTGCTATCTTGTTATTACTGGGTTGTGGTAACAATTTAGGTTTTAAGTCAATATTTAATTGTCCATTGATATTCAATTTTTTTTCTACAACTAATTTGAGATTATCATATTTTTCATACGAGATAATTTGGCCATGATCATAACGAATCGATTGTATATATTGTTGTGAAATAATCAAATGTTTTGGTTTAAATTGTTGATTTAATAAAGTATTCATTTGATTAAAATTTAACCGTGTATCAATTGGTAAATAGAAACATTTCATATTCATTGGTTGATACGGTTTCAATGATTCAATATACGAATATTCTGTATCAATAAAGATGATAGCATTTGACGATGATACTTTGAGTTTTTCAATCAATTGTACAATTGGACCAAAACGTAAAGATATGTCACCAGCAAATACTACACATGGTTGTTCGAAATTAATTAGATTCTCATTATCATCTAATAAATGAGATGTAATATTTATTAATAATTTTGATCGTGTTAAATCATTATGTAAAAATGGTTGTGTGCCACTGAATGCGGATGTTTGCCGTGTTTCGGTAACCCATTCTGACATGGCATTTGATATTGATAAACAGGCTTGACTAATAGGAGATATAAAATACATTTGTACATTTAATAGATTCACTTTTTCAAAATATTTTGTTAAAAATTCAAAAATATCATAGATGATACCTGTTGAATGGCATGGAATTAATACACTACCATTATCACGTAAAACTGTCTCAACTTTTGTTGTAAATTCATTGACAATTGTCCACGGTTCATACGTAGGTGTACGTGATAAATTTGTCACTAATAAATAATCACATGATTTAAAATGATCATATATCATTTTTGTTGGATGTGTAGCCAGAGTAGTACTAGATGATGAATAACCAAAACGAATTATACTCGAGCCACCAGTAGATGTTTCAATTTTTGATGTTTGATTATGATTAACGTTGATTTCCAGTAACCAATTACAACTACCTTTAAATACAAAACAAATTTGATAATCAACAGCAGATAAAATGTGACGTTTTTTAGTGTAATTTTTGTTCATATTGATACAAAATAACATGCAAAAATTTTCATAACAATCTTGAAGAAAATAATTGAAACTAAATATGTAGGATTCATTAGAGATATATTCAACCGTAGCAACTCTCTTCCAGTATTTATATTATACACTCATTCTCCTCCTTCGGTATTGCCTAGGCCTGCACTAATTCCAATGCCAACTTTAGGAATTGGAATTGATGAATTTTTTTCTACATATCAGGTAAGTATAATTATCATCATTTTCTGTATGAGCAGAATTAAGAGAAGTAAATATAACATAGAAATGTTTCAAATATTGATCTTAAATACTAGTGAAAATAGATTTTATATGAACTGATCCATTTTAGACTACTTTCATATAGTATTAAAAAGTTCGCAACTCCGTCAAAATTCGTCATAAGCACCCTCAAAACTTCAGAAGATATTTAACTTGGGCTCTACGTATAATTTATCATACAAACTAGAAAAGTTTTAAAGAAAAGAATCTGGTTTTCCAGCTAGATTTTCAGAAAATAGCTCTCTGGTGGTTATAACGACCTTTGACGGAGTTACGAACTTTTTAATACTATATGAAAGTAGTCTAAAATGGATCAGTTCACATAAAATCTATTTTCACTAGTACTTAAGATCAATATTTGAAATATTTCTATGTTATATTCGCTTCTCTTAATTTCTCACATTTCGAGTCAAAGTTGCCACCAAGAGAAGTGTGAGAAAAGGAAAAAGGTGGCATATTAAATATTTATTACGTACCTAAGGCATATCCAGAACTTACTGCACACGCTCTTATTGAACTATACAAATTAACCTGTTCATTAAAATGTACAATTGTTATATTATTTAAACATTTTTCAATATCATCGTGTGTATAAACTGGCATGAGTTGTTGCGCATATGAAAATAATTTTAATTTTTGATTTGTTGCTGTAGTTTGTTTCTCAATTTCATCAAACAGATTTAAATTTAATTTCCATTGTGAATTTGTTTTTATTGCTGTATTTTGATATTGAACAAATTCATTCATTAGTTGTTGACCGAAACGATATGTAGGTTCGGTACAGTAGATTTGTGCATGAAATGTTTCATATTTTTTATATAAATAGGGTAAGCTAAGAAATGTTTCATGGTTTGAAATCAATACAATATCAATTAGTGAAAAATCATATTGGGCTGAATCGAGTGTATAATATTCAATGGGAGAATATAGATATAAACGATTATTCAATTGTCTTAATTCATCAATGAGAATGTCTTCTTCATGATGATTCGGGGATGATGGTGACGATGTTGAAACATGAATACTATATTTTGGTAATGACGAAAATGGATTTAAACAACCGGGACATGGTGAAGGTAAATAATCAAGTAGATGATCATTTGGTAATGGATAATCCAATAATATAGAACGACCTTTCACAGTTAAAATAAAACATGGTAAATTGGGATCATCAGATAAACAATACAAACGCATCTAAAGAGAAAATTGACTTTGACTACAATTTGATTCTATTATCAATCAGTGATTAAATAGAAAACATTGAGTTTATATTTAATTTTGAATGTATATTAGTGTTGAACAAGCAAAACTCTTGCTTTACTAACTTCTATGTTTCTATGATAATGAAAAATTGTTTGACTTGTTTTACTTTTTATTATCTTCTGACAAGTGATTCTATTTATTTTTATAAAAATGTTCTATAAGAACATTAATAGCTTTCTACAAAAAAAAACCCGAATATGAATGTAAAAAAACAACAACAGAAAAACCGAATCACGCCGTTTATTCGTAGAAAACTTCCACTTGTCCGTCGAGAATTCTTTCTATACTAGTGTGTAGTAGAGCAACGTTCGCTGATTCTTTTTATGGCACTGATTAGCCTTAGAGCACGATTTCCGGTATCTAAAAATTAACTTTTTTCATTAGGGTGCTGTGAAATATGAGTAAATATGAAAGTGCCAAATCTATAGATTTTAACAGTAGCTGTTTGGTTCTTTCCAAGCATGCAATTCAACAGACACTTTAATTGTACCTATTCACCAGGTGTTTTTCCACTTAGTACAATTGTGTGAGTTTAGATAGCGTTAATTCAAGGTTTCTAGTGGCAAAATCAAATGATCAATATTTTGGTTAACTCTCTATTTCTATCACCTTGTTCTTTCATTTCTTTGTTGTTTTCGACATCGTTACAGATAATGGCACTAGAATGTGCGCAAAATACTCTGGACTATGAATTGGTATCGACTATCATACATTCCACTACCAAAAAAACTGTTCATGTGGTGAGTAGTAGAATGACGACAAGTCAAAAGTTTTTATGATACTAAAAAAAGCTTCTGGCAAGCGTGAAGAAATACATTGGTAATATGTTTTGTGGCCCTGATATCAGATCACTTATATTTGAAATCTACTTGTTTAGAAAGTATTTCATGACAAAGGTATGGCACTTCATATTTACTCATACCTCACAACACCTTAATGAAAAAAGTTAATTTTACCGTTAATTAATTAATTTTTTAGGTACTGAAAACCGTGCTCTAAGGCCAATCAATGATATAAAAAAATCAGCAAACGTTGCTCTATTACACACTAGTATAGAAAGAATTCTCAATGGACAGGTGGCCGTTTTCTTCGAATAAACGGTAGGATCCTTTATATTTGTTCGTGAAATAGTCATAATAAAAAGACACTGTTTGATCAATTTCAAACACCAACGAGAGTTTTACAAACATATTATGTTCATAGATGCGTATTGCGGTATTCGTCGATTATTGACTTCGTACTACAATGATAAAACAAAAACCATGAATACTATAATTCAGAATATAAGCAAAGTAGTTTTCGGTCACACACAGATATAATACATTTGAAATATTATTAGTGCCAGACAGCTACTCTACAATTATTTAGTAGTGTGTGTGTGTAACTACCTGTATCATTTAAGATTCTTGACATTGTAAGTTTAATGGTGGTAGTTAACGCGATATTATTCGACGTATTGAACACTTCAAAAAGGGAAAGAGATTAGAGCTACTCCTTTAACGTAAATTTATTTATCCATCATTCACGGTGCAAATAGCCTGCAATACAAGAATAAAAATAATATTCATACTTTTATGAACCGTATTCGCAAGACGATGAAGCTTTGATGAACCAGATGGAACAGCCAGTTGAGATCGTTGAGCTAACGATTCAACTACTGACATTGGAGTTGAATCGATATCTTGTAATGCGTGTGCAACGTCTAAAGAAAAACGAAAAGTTGATAAAATTATAGTGTTTCTAAGAATAATTGACAATCCTATTTTGAATTGCATTAATCATTCATCTTACTTTCCGCTAATTCATGATATGCAAAATGTAAATATAACAGAAAGATCATATGCATGGCAGCAACAAATCCGGCCAGTGCAAGCTGATATCGTTGATTCAGTGTTCGTGCCATAACAACTGAAGCCTTAATGTCAAAAAGCAATTAAAAAGGCAACAAAAAAGGAAACAATATAGATCATTTTACCATTTTTGAAGCAGCCATTCCTCCAATAACAGCCCAGAGAAAATAAAATAACATGTGATCATGTTTTGTGTGAATAAATGTTGCAAATAATAAAACAACACAATGACTGAATAGTGCGTATCCCTAAAATAATAATAAAATAACTACGTAAAAGACAAAAAAATAAAACAACTCTATTTGCTTACATTTAAACTTAATATTTGAATCAAACTCAACCGTGTGTTACAGATGAATGAAACACTGGATATTGCAAAACTTGATCCAATCCTAAGAAAGAAAATGTTTGTTTATATATTGTTTATCGATAACGATAAAATTCCTTTCCTTACCAATATCCAAAACATACCAGAAATGCTGTACCAATTAACGTACCGTCTTGCTACAAAAAAATTAAAAGGATTATTCAACTGTGAAAGAATCGGGAAGATTCTCTGACAATTTTAAACGTGCACTTTATTTGTGGAAGTCATTATCTTTCCACATTTACTTACAACAGAATGATTAGACAGTTTCATTTGATAGATTAATATAGCTGCCAGTGTAAATGTAATCATGCTTGGTCCATATAATTCAGGTTTTACGTTCTAAAATAGTGAAAGATCAAACCGTAAAGAAGAAATAAAACTCTTGTTAAAAGTCTAAAATAAACCTACTTCTTCTCGAGATGGCAGCTTTGGTATCAAAGACTGAATCAATCTAAAAGAAAAATCAATATCTACAACCACACTAATTATATTATTTTACTCGAGTAGTTTTTCTTTTGTGTACTCGTACTCATACCCGAATAAGCATGTATTTTCTCATCGCAGCTGCAATATAAGTAAAGTTAAACCCATTCTCTATCTTCCTCACAAATGCCAGATAGAAACTTTCTTTCCTAGACTAGAGATGTGAACGATCCGACTGTCAAAACTTCACCCGTACCCGGTACTCATCCATCGGGTGGGGTATCGGTCCGATTGGTACTAGACACCGTTCTATATTCTAACTACTCACTGTGACTCAGCTTACCTATTGAATACTTCTTTTGGTTCGACGTCGAAATACGGTCTCAGATAATCGAGATTTGCATATAAATTTATTGCTTTTTGTGCTTGTTGTTTTCCAGCATTCCATACCTAAACACAAAGGTATAAAGCAAACTGCCATATTCATTCCTACAATGAAATATGAAAATTACCAATGCTCCAACGCTTGGTCCAAATTGATTTGTGGTTTGATTATTATTGTGTATTGATCTACGTTGAATATTATCGTCCATTATAAAGTAGTTTGCAGCAAAAGTAATTTGAATCTGAAAGAGGCAAACAACATTGTTCTTCGTCAATCATTCAACGATGAACTCCTAAGTACCTCTCACAGTCTAGATTAATTTGAATTCTAGGCAATGATCTTTGCGAAATTCAACCTGCGCAATTTTAATTATTCCATGAGCGAAATGAAAATCGCAAAAATACCACTCTTATTCTTTTTTGTTGAAAAAATTATCGTGTTGTGATGTGAGTGACTGTTTACGCTCTCTCATGTCGTCTTACCTCTCCAACCGTCTACAGTGTGTGCGTGTGAACGACTCTATCTCTTCTCCTTCTCTTGTTTCTTCTGGCATTCTTCAAGGCAGTGTGCTTGGGCCGCTTCTATTTCTTATTTTTATTAATGACTTGCCTCTTCCAAAAAATTGTGAAATCTGTCTTTTTGTAGATATCTTTTTAATTGTACTTCTTTCTTCTTCGGATTCGTGTAATTTCTCTCATGTTCAAAGCTGTATAAATTCTGTCTCAAATTGATCTTCTACTAATTTCCTGTCTCTCAATGTGTCTAAATGTTCTTGGCTTCCTTTTAGTTTTGATCTTTTCCGTTTGTTTACAATCAGCTGTATCTCAATAAAGACCCTCTTTCTGTTGTGCTTCTGTTCACTGAAATGGACTTCTTGTTTCGCACGATCTTAGGTGGAGTGAACATGCCAGAGACATTGCTCTTGCTTGTCGGCGCAAGCCAGGTGCACTAAGTCGTATCTCTGGACTAGCTCCATCAGAAGTTCGACGTCGAATTTATCTTTCTTCTATTCTTCCTCAACTAGATTACTATTGTGTCTTATATGGTAGTTCTTTCTCACTTTCTGTACTTGACTCTGTAAATAAACTTGCTTCTCGTGTTTTATCTCGTAATTTTGATTATTGTTTTTCTAGCTCTTTACTTGTGTCACAGCTTACTCTTCTAACCCTTTCACTTCGCTGTAAATATTTTCGACTTATACAGTTTTTCAAAAATTATCATTGTCTTAGTCCTCTTTCCATCTTCTACTCTATCCACCGTCCTCATTACTCTTCTTTACGCTGTCATCATTCTAAATATGTTCGCATTCCCACCTCTGTCAACTGTTTTTCTTCTTTTTCCGATTCAACTATTACTGACTGGAATACATTTCCTGAGTCAGTTATTTGTTTTTCTTTTTTAACGTCTTTTAAAAAGGCGCTAGCTCAGTAAAGTTCAGCCCTGGTCTAGTCAAAATAAACTCGTGTTAGCTGTTTTCTTTAACGTTACTTTATTTGTGTTCATTTTTATCGTTTCTTTATCTTTATGTTGCATCTTCTAGTCTCTTTTTTACTTTTTCCCTATTTCATTTTTGTAGTTTGGTTCGAGTTATTGATACTACAGATCAGGAACCTTTGGTGACTCTATCTTTTCGTGAATAAACATTATATAGGAAGCGCGATACTTTGAAGAACTAGATATAGAACATCTCACATAGACATTCGTCCGACTCAGGAAAACATGATGACACAAAACCTTAATTTTTGATAACATTTTCTTCAATAAAAGCAAAATAACAAACAACCGAAGATCTACTCGAGAATCAACAAATCATGTTGTACAGTCGACATAATCTAGTATTCGCTTGTTCACAGAGTCATGTTAGCTTAACCTTGGAAAGGATTAACCAATCAGGTATAATCAAAAGGTAGTCTTTTGTCTGAAACTATTCTGTCAGTAAAACTAGTACCGTCTAAGTGCGACGTCTCATTGCGTTTTTATAAGACTTTTGTTCTTACAAAACGCTTTGAGCAATAAAATTAGGGTAATCTAAAACAGGATTTCTTTGTTTTTTTAGCCGATAGTGGTTTTTTGAACTTTATCAAAGATTATATACAAAATGGGCTGCTGGAAGGATCACGTTTTGAGAAACTTAAATGGGCACTGCGGTGATTTGAAGAGAATTTAATGCTAGATGATAAATATTATAATACATGCTAAGAGTAAATGCTAGCAGTAAATCGGCGAATCCGTTTGACAAGTCCAGAAACGGCGTTGATTTTGGAGCTTTGGTTTGGTCACATGTTGACTGTGCTAACTTGTTTTCATTTTACATCGTTGTTCTTAGATAATAAATGTTTAAAAAACATCCGGTCAAAACTGGATTTTTTCTATGTTAAATCCAGTGATAAATCAGGGGAAAACAGTAGAGCATCTCTTTATAGTTGGTTTAATCTTGAAAGGGTCTTGACAACAAAATCATGGATTTTCGGAAACCAATCAAATATTGAGCTGTAACTACTTTTTCTGAGTGATTGATTGAATTAGTTTTTTATCATTTTATGATTATTTGAGCGGTTGATCTTTTCAAGATTTGACATCGGGACTAAATTTTAAATTTTTGTTTAACACTCTGATCCTATTCTACTGACTTGTATTATATTCAAGGGAGAAAAGGCTGAATGGGCTATTCCGTACCATTCCAAACATTTCTGACAATTCCAAAACGCTCCCCCCCTTGATTATATTTCTGGAGATCCTGAAATTGATTTTTAGTACAAGCATAGATATAATCTTGTCTATTTAGTCATCTTTATACTTTTCACTCACAATATTATTGAAAAATATGCTTTTTTAGACATGTTGATAAATGGCTACAAAAGGCATCGATATTAAAACAAAAAGGGCTCGTCTACTGGATAGTTCACCTACCGAATCGGATGATGAAGGTAAACATCTTTTTAACGTTTTTATTATACCTAGTTAAATTTGAATGTATTTTATACTTTTAGAAAAGAAAACTTTGAAACGTCGCTTATCTATTTCGATCGATAATACACAAGCATCTCCTTCTGCATCGACTAATGCAACAAATCGGTCTTTACAACGGATTATAGTTAGCGAAAGACAACAAATGGCTATACTGAAGCAGCTCACAGCATCTGAAGAACAACTAGGTAAAATCATGGAGGAGCATTATATTTTATTAACATTTTTTTACGTTTTCATATCTCTTGTAGCTCAATCTTCCAAGTCCAATTCACCGTCATCAACTTGTGTTACAACCGGAATTTCGAAAAGTCGTTTGTCACGAATAAATAAACGTAATGAACATGGAGAGACAATACTTCATGTTTTGGCTAGAAAAGGAGAAACAAAACAATTGAAAAAAGTCGTTAAAGCCGGTGGAAATGTGAATGAAGTTGATTATGCAGGTAAAAAAACAATTATAAGACATGAAAGCTTATCTGCATAAAAACTTGTTTTTTCTATCCATTTAGGATGGACACCATTGCATGAAGGTATACAGTAATAAAAGAGAAAACAATTTTCATTGTTCATTGTCAACAACTTCATTGTTCTAGCCGTTAACAAGAATCAGTATTCTGCAGCACGTTTATTACTTAAATCTGGAGCATCAGCCAATGCTTTTGGTCCCGAAGCAACCACTCCACTGCACGATGCCGTTTTGAATAATAATACAAAAGTATGTGCATGCGTTCGAATCATCTGATACTTATTAAAATTGTTCATCTTTTTTTTATTTAAGTTGGTCGAATTGCTTTTGAACTATTCTGCTAATCCAAATCAGGGAGATTTAAAACAGATAACACCATTTGCTTTAGCTGCATCCAATAGTTTAATGTTGAAAATTCTAAGACGTGAATTAATTATCGACCGACAAGATGACAGTCTAGACGAAGAAGATGACACCGATGATTTAGGACCGTTATCACCACTCAGTAGTTTTGAATCCGAACAGGACACAATAACGCCAATTGCAATATCAGCTCCAAATGCAGCTACAACAGGTTCCTTTCTTGATATATACCATGTCATGTATTTGTACTACCCTTCTTTTTAGTCGACTCTTCTGGAGAACAACGTCATTTATTAGTAGCAGCCGAAGATAAACAGAGAACATTACCAATTGAACGATTAAAATTTAAACGAATTGATCGAATGGTGAGTGACGTTATAATCGGACTTGACGAAAATTAAAAGATTCTAACAGTATTTTGCCTGCATTTCGAGTTATTCTACAGATCTGCCAAGTAATTTCAATTAGATTCTAAACATAGGGTATGAGAAAATTTGCAGAGAGTCGAGGATAGTGAGAATGTTTTCTTCTTTTGGTTTTATTTATACTGTACAATTGATATAATTGTATTACCTTTATTTAGGTTATAAGAGATGATACTGATAAGGATTTTAGTGATGAGGATGCTCTGGATTATGGTTCTGAGCATTCAGCAAATTCTGCTTATCGTCGTAGTCGAAACAAATCATCTGAATCATGTTCATCTCATGGTAAACAAATAAATCAAGACAACGTATTATTAGATAGTGTCGATGCACAAGAAACAACAGGTGATACACGTCAACTATCTAAGGAACAAAGGAATCCATATGATTTTGACAGCGAAGAGGAAGAAGGTGAAATTCGTGACGATATTAGCGATACTAAAAGTTCGACAGCAGTAACGCATAGCGATACCACATTTTCATCGTACGATACATACGGCAGTCGAACTGCTTACAATTACCCATCACATCTATTATATTCTCGAAACCCATCCTCATCGCAATTACAAAATCATTATCAATCACCTCCATCGCAACATACCTATTCATCATTGCATGATTCATCTCATTATCAAACACATTTCCCGTCTTCTCACTATTACCGTGATGAATATCACGAGCATACAAAAGCGACATGGCGACATGTAAGTATTTCAATATTGAAAATTCTCTAATTTCTGATTTGACTTGTTACTACTCTAGAATAATATTGAGAAGAAAGAACGATCGAGTAAATCTGTACAAGATTCAACAGATAAAAACCGTTTCAATTCATCCTCTTCATCTCGTGAAAAACTAGAATTGAGCCTTTCGGATTATAAACAAACAGATGAAGCATGGAAAAACAGTCGACTACTAAAAGTATCATCGTCCTCCTCCTCAAATGATGAATCAACAATTAAAATTGTGACCAAACGTAAGAGAAAGGAGAATGTATCATTACTTCCATCTTCGGAAACGGAAACAATAACGGGAAAACATTCAATTTCTGATGATGAAAAATTATTCAAACAAAAAAAAATTTTCTCAAATTCTACTCGATATAATAAAAAATTCGAAGAATCCATGAAGAAACAATTTGATGAAATAGCTGTTGACGTTCCTACAATAAAACCAAAAATTCCAGTTTTAAAAATTGTTATGCCAACAAGTCAACATCATCTGAATGAGAAAAAAATTAAAAATACACAACAAATGTTACCCTATGTACTCAAACCCGATAGTACTGAAAGGTATGTTTGCGCGCGAAACTTTAGCAAAGTGCACTTGTTGATAAATTGAAATGAAAATACAAAGAAACTATTAGTTGAGCTATATTTTTCTCGTAAATAGGAAGAAACATATAACACCATTCTGAATGATGAGGCTTTTTAAATAGCAGAGAACTACACACTATCTTATTTCTACGTTTAACTTTGACGTAAAGATATCCTGATAGTACTAACTATTTCTTTCATTGAAAAAAAATGAACATTTTCTACAATGCAGGGTTAATATAACCTTTATTCTGTCAGAATACAAGCGGAAAAATATTCCATTATAGTATTCTAAACTAAACAATGTGGGGTTTCCTTAATAGACCGAAAAATTCACTATACTACAGATATAAGTAATCATACGGTCGTTTGATTACATAGACAAATCTTTGCCTTCGCTTAAAAATATGCTTTTAGAAGTAAACTGATATTCTTTTTACTAAAAATAAAAATATTTATGTAGAAGAATAGAAAGAAAAAAAACAGCGACATCACGTTTGCAGCACATAGTTAAAAATTAAAAAAAATTGTTTGTTATGTCATTCTTAAAATTTGATAGGAAAAAATAAAAATTAGCATATTGTTTATTTTTTGTTTGGCCGTGTTTATTGAATTATTTTATCGAAAGGCTTTATCTAAGTCAGATACCTAAAAAATATTTAAGATAACAAATACCTACAATTTGGCATTACTGGTCTTTTTTTAATCTAATTTGGAAGGCAGGCGCATCGTTCATTGTGAAAAAATATATGTATTTATATCTGATATTTTTCTCTATACGCTATGATATTAATATAATTAATTTTTTATTATTAAAAATGTCTTAAATGATGTCTACAGTATAATAATAACAGAATTGTAATAATTTTTCTAAGAATTGAAAGTATAACTAACTCATGCTTCCAGTTCAAAGTATATAAGATAAACTATATAGTTGCGAGAGTGATGACCAAGTTATGTCACTGTAGCTAAAACTCATACTTCACGGTAGATAGACAATTATTCATGATTACTTTTTGGAATTATCCTACCATACTTTGGAATTATTTGAATACTCATGAATTTTCGTACGTGTAGTAAAAAAAACACGCAGTAAACTAACATATCAAAATGCACTGAATGTCGTTGATAATTTGATACACATTTTTTTTAGTATCTGAATGCTTGAGATAAACTAACCTTTCTTTTTCGTGTTAAATCATTTCTCAATCGGAAGGACATGATGACTAGGTCACCGGTTTAATAAGAGTTTTTTACATAGTGATCATCCTGGTTATTCAATGACGTGCATAACGAATGATAAATCGCTCAATCATTCATAAAATATGAAAGAGGGATGTAGAATACATGTTGTGTGAGATTGTTTTTTTTTTCTTCAAAGAACACATGCACATTCTCATTTATTCTTGTTTTTACCAATAATTAAATTCAACCTCAAAATACTAATGTAACGATAAGAAAAGAAAAAGAAAACATAACGATGAAATCATGTCTGTTTTTTTTTTCTTCTTCGTTCTTCGAACTGTACAAGAAAAGAAAATCATCATCTTCCATTTGTACAATAAATACGTAAAAAAAAAAGAAGAAAACAACGAGGCAGTCGAACTTATACTTGCTGTGAACAAGCGTGTATAGTGTGTGCATATATGTGTATTGATCTGTTCAGTTGACTTTTCCTGTAGATTTTAGATTAAAGTGTACTTATTACATATAGATATAGATATATATACATATTTTGAAATCAAGATGGATGACATTACAACAGAGTAAGTAGTTTCTTTGAATAAAGCACATGGTATATAAGAATGTTGACATCTTAATCTAGGACTAGAATCTAGAACATTTGTGAAAAAAATAATAACACATATAATAGAGTTGAGAGTAGAGAATGACAATTACTTGTATTTATTGTATATCTATATTGTATTCACTATATTTGTTATTTAATGTTCATGTTCACACCCTAAAATTCTCCTTCATTCTCTTAACTGTAATTTTAATGAACATCGCTGTGCAAATAACGTATCTCATTGCTCAAAATCAGCAACATGACATACTAGTGTGTCACAATCGCAGAGAGAAAAATAACAATAGTGAACTAATTGTTCAACAGGGAACATTACTGATATCTTCTGGATTAGTCTCTGTTTGGTTGGTAAGATCAAACAACATTAAAAAGTAATATCATATGTGAGTGTGAGTATATAGGGCAAAACGATGACAGAATGAACTTATTTCTCGATAAACAAGAAAAAAGCACCATTTTTTTGCTACTTTTCGAATACACTTATTACAGCTCCTATTCTCTTCATCGTTTTCTGTACGCAAAAAAAGTGTCATTTGTACTTCTGTTGACTCAAGAAAAAGAAAAGAAAAGATTAGCTGACTCGATACTACTCTTTTATGTAGAACGTAATGGGTATTCTGGATTTGTAGGTCACCAGGTACTAAACTGTAAAGCGTACGTTTGATTTTGACTCGTTGACGCATCTGTATTATTACTCAGATGTAACTATTCGTTATTGTATTACACATTTGCTTTTTTTTAATAGGTGGGCGTTTTTCGATTCCAATAAGAATGCTGTTTTAGTTGTCCTTTGTTGTTGGACAATTGAAGAGCTAGTTATACTGCCCATGTGAATAAGAAAGGCATTGATTGATTGTTTGAAACGCTCACTTTTAATTAAACTGATCAAACTTTGGAATAGTTTACTATCAAACACAGCTCACAGTTTTCTACAGGTATATATATATATATATGTTTGTATGTGAGGTGGATGAGTGAGTGAGAAGAGAGTATAATAACAGCAAACAATAGAAATAGTAAAGATATTGTTATTGATAAAAAAAGAATGGATTTGGATGTGTTTTGAATAACATTTGACAGGAAAATAGTAGAACCTTGCGTACTCAAAAACTTGAGGTTCAAATATTTTTTGGTTTTTGGATGGGTAGAGAATTCTAAAAGTGTCTTCTTTAGAACGGAAGTCAAGTGTGACCTTGATTCTGATATTTTCTGAGTGATTTGCAACTCTTTTAATGGGGTTAGGTGAACCTGGAAATTCCAGTTTTTGTAAAACTCGGTTTCGATTAGGTTTTTGAATTCTTTTTCGAAAATAAACATTGTCACTAGATTCAGCGTGGGCGATTACGTATGCTTCATGTGATTTCAAGGTTATCCCAAGGCATAAATATTCATCTTGAGACTCCAAGGTACTTCAATATCACGCACAAACCGCTGAAAATCAAGGTCACGCTTGACTTTCGTCCTAAAGACGACACTTTAGACTTATCTACCCATGCAAAAACCAAAAAATATTTGTATCTCAAGTTTTTGAATACTAACTTAGCTTTCCGACGGCCTTCTAAAAAATCCACTGTACAAAAAGGTCTTCAAAATCGTTTTCACGATGGAAAGATGCATCAAGTCTTGGTTTTCAATTGGTAAAATTGCAAGTTTCTATCACTTTGTTAGTCAAAACACATCCATTCTTTTTTTTACTAATAATACATACAGCATCCACTGTTACAAATATTTCGCCTCTGTTCTTTTATTTGAAATCTATTGTACAAACGTCACGTGTATATGAATTCTTCAATTCGAACAGTATCCTATAGAAATCTTTAATTTTCAGCCATATTTGAGGTGGAATTGCTTTACCAATTTTCACTATCATCAATTTATATCACATCATAAACATCACCGCTTCAAGAAGCGACAGTTTCAAATTTTCAAAGTTTCAGTATTTTTGAGAGAATCTTCAGAAACACATTTTAGACTATTTTTTGTAACGGTATTGAAACTCTTAAATTGGAAAAATAAACGTCAAATTAATAAATGTCATTAAATCTGATCGATTTGTCTTTGTATATTCGTTTTAACTATAAAAGGATAATTCTGTTAGCTCTCGAAATAAGAATAGAGCATTCCGAATACTAGGTCAAACTTTCGCACGTTTCACTACTTCGAAAAAACTGCATGATTTTTTCTGTCATGTAGCCTACAAGGACGACTACAACAGTTAAAAATGGCTTTGTTCCTAGTTATTTCAAAAATCGAAATTACAGCAAAAAGTATATACTCAAATCTATATTTTGAAATCAACGCTATGAAAGACCAAGAAGAGATCAAAATGATTTTCTGAATACTCTCTGAAAAACACTCGTAGCATTTCTAATCATACCATGAGAAAGCCCTATTTTTTCGCTGCATATCTCACACTTGAGGTTTCGCACTTAATTTTAATATGAAAACGTAATTGGTTTCTGGACTCCGATAATTATAATCTAAAATTTATGATACCGACATTTCTAAACTTTTTTCCCGATTTATGATAATCCCACCCAAAGATCTTTTATTTAAAACAAGGTTTCAGCTTATGTGAGAAAAAATCAATATAAATGTGGTACGAACTCTACTGAAATATTCTTTCTTAGTTACACTTATGACATTTTCTTCGACAAGAACTTGAAATCTAATATGAATGCACATCTGTAGTTCATAGTATGCAAATAATCTTAACGATATATATACTACTCAATATTATCGATTGTAAACTGTTTCTTTCCTGTACAGTGGATCTAATTATTAATAATTTCCGTTTAAAGAAATGTATAATGTCTGTCTGACTCTGTGTATGATATACGTGCGTGATCCATATCATGTGACTACTATTATTTTTCATCGTCAGCGATAGAAGAAATAAAAAGAACGAATGAGAGAGATTAGATGAGGCGAGGAAAGAGTCATCACACAACAAAATCGAAATGTACGAGTAGACATTTAAATATTACAAAATGCTCTTTTCTGTGGGATTCTACTTTTTTCACTGTCTTTCTTGATTGACTTTCGATAAACTTTATTTTCTATTAGTGTATCTATAAGATGAATCATCAACCTTTCTGAATCTACTGATTTAAAAGTTTATCTTTATTGAGGCTAACGGGTTTTTTTCCGGAAAAGCGCTGTTTTTCTAAAAAGTTTTTCCGCTTTAACGGATTTTTTTTCAGACTTGGTGCCAATCCTTTTTCTCATACTTTTTCTCTTGGCAGAACGAAATATAGAATGGTTATGTACTTGAGAGTACTAATTTTTGGCGATTGTATTATAGTAATTTTTCAGACAGTACTTGGTTCCGGATTTGTTCTTCATTCAGCTCTTATTCGTTGTTATTTGTGATGATTATTAAAAACATCAACAGATTATAAGCATGAAAAAAAGCGAAAGTTTTTGCTTGATCGACATTGTTAATAATATTTATTTTTATGAAGCGTTTCGACCTTTCATTTTTCCTATCCCTCATTATGTGTTAGAATCAGTCTCTGTCTAGGCGATCTTGACTTTATTTTTCATATTGTTATAAATTTGTCACTTTAGAACAAAATTCATGGATATTTCTAAGCATATTGAATTTATCGAAAAAACTATTTTTTCTTTTTTTTTTGTCGTATCTATATCTGTCTTTTGTAAGACATAAATAAACTGTCTCCCCACCACATCATTGATATTGATAATATAAACTATTGTTTTACAATATAAAATAAAGTCTTTTGTTTTTTTTGTGCTCTTCTCATATATATTACCTGTTATTCACTCTTTATAGTAAAATAAAAAAAGTTTGTTGTCAAATAAAAACTGCTTGAAATCGTCTTACATACATTATATCTTTTCAAGAGTAGAAATTTTAGAATTGATAAAAATAGTAACAGCAGCTGCTTTTAGATTCAGCTAATGTTTTATGAAGTGATCCTGAGAGTCTCCACTTCAGTTAATTGAAAAGAAAAAGTGAGATGTTCTTCTGAATGTTGTAATCAAATGTGTCTGCGTCATATATCATTATTCTAACTAAAATGTACTAAAAATAAGAAACCAGGGTAATTTTGAGACTTTGTACTTAAAAGACAGTTTTGTACAGACTTCATAATTTTTTCTCTCAACACGAAATACATTTTTACAAGTCCTCTGGTTATTATTTTTAGTGTCCCATAGACACGTTCGTTCGCGTCACCGATGGCACGAACGAAAACAGATCAATAGATACATATTTTTATACCAAGAAAGTCACAGTGGTGTCGCACTTATATATGATAAAAGTGACAACATTACAAAGATGGGTATGACCTAGACGCTATGAATAAAAACAAACATAAGAACAAATAGAAAAAAATACTCGACAGAAAGAAAGACAAACAGACATTTTCTCACAGCAAAAATTTATAATGAGAGATGTATAGGTATCATGCGAGAAAATTGTTATTTAGTTAAGTACAGAGCAAGAGAAAAGAAAATGTATCTGTTTTGATACAATGAAAAGAAAAATGAACTATTTTACAATACGTCATACTTAGAACAGTAAATTTCAAAATATATTTATAAATAGAGAAAAAACATGACAATAAGTTGGATGTAAATATGGTTTATTCTTGTTTTTTACTCTGGACAATGCTTTTTTTTAGCAGACTTCAATTTTTTATACAACAAAAATAATTTATTTATAATTTTAAAGTGTATAATTAATAAATTCATACAGAAAGTTTTATCAAATATGTATTCTTTTTTAGCTCTTCTATGCCATTGGAAGATACTAGTGCTGGTGTACTATCAGAAGAAAATACTATTCAAGCAACTATCACTACCACAACCACGACCATGACAACAGCAACAATCATCGAAGATAATAATACATGTGCTCTTGTTATTGATACGTCGTTACCTAAAGACACAACAATGACTAACGAAGAAATCAATACTGAAGTTCTTTTCGAAACACCATCGTCTTGCTCTTCTTCTTCTTCTTCGGCTGTTATTACGGTAATGAAACGTTCATTGGAGGATGTTGACGAGGAATCTGTAGAATTATTACCACGAAAACAGCAAGCTTTAGAGCCATTAAGTACTGATACACTTCAAACAATGCCAGTTGTGCCTTCATTATCTCCCCCTGTTGAAGGAGAACGTTCTACTACTTTATCAATCGAAACACATCAATCGATCACAACCACGCCTACAACAATAACGACTGTAACCGAAATAATCAGTACAACAATAACGGCTCAAGATGAAGAACAGCCCCAATCAGAACAGGAGCAACAAAATACTACTACTGCAGCAGTGCAACAAATCCCGCATCGTCGTGAAACGAAATCTACGAGAACGTTGCGCTCCCATGCAAGAAAACAGACGTTAAATAGCATTACGATAACAAATGCTATTAATAAAAAGACGAGAAAAGGTAATGAAAAACAACGTCGAAAAATCGAAAAACAGCCACAAAATCAATCGATCATAAATTCTGAGACATCATCAATCCAAACGAGTGAAAATAGTCTTACCAATAATCAATCTGGATCACCTTCAAACAATCATGACGAAAATCAAAATTCAAGCAACCACAGTTCGGATGATATGATCTCAAGTGATAATGGTGTGTATGTCTTTTTAAAATAGGTCATTACTCTAACGTTACTCATTGGATTCTTTTTCTCCCGTTTCAGTCAAAAATTTAAACGATGATGGTAGTTCATGTTCGAGTGGTGATGGTACCAATAAACTGAATGATTTTGATAATTTATCATCAAATAAACGAAAATTACGTGAAAGATTAAATGCTTCGCAATCGATCGCTACTTCTGGGTCATCGTCAAATAATTTAATAACAGCAACAGCAGTATCAAGTACTAAACCGTCAACAATTCCATCTTCAACAAATTCTTCTTCATCAGTAGCAGCTGCCGTCACACTTTCTCCCAATAATAATGTATCACGAGAAGTACCCATAAATTGTATTAAAAAATTTTTAGAAATTCGACGTCAAGTATGGTTTTATCTACACTTGTCTTTTTCTTCTCTACATTTTAATGTTTTTTTTCTTTAGATTGATAAACGCCATGAAATGATGATGCACGGTTTTATGGTGCCAAAAACGCCAAAAGATTTTGACGAATTTTCAATGGTAAAAAAAAGTTATTTAATTTCATCGTCTACAGTGACACCAGAAGATTTGCATATTAAAAAAGTATGTTCTACTTTTCTCAAGAGTCAAGAAAACTTTAGCTCTTTGTTTTCATATTTTAGTGTCCTCCACCTACTGACCTTGATAAACAGCTCACAGAACTATTTATTCGACAAGAAGATGAAAGATATCGTATGCGTTTAAGACATCAAGTCGAACGAGTAAATAAATACACATTTTTGGCGCTCGAGTGTTTTTTAACTGACGTTTTATTATTTTAAGGACAAATTGATTTTATCTCACGAACAAGAAATTCTTCGGTTATATGGAAATGCAGCAAGATCGTCAATGAATCAAGATATTCCATTTAGCTATTGCACGTTACTCAAAGATGATGAAGTTTATAATTTTCCATCGTCACTGCAAGTAAGTGAATAGTATTGTTATTGTTTTATACATTCTCTATGTATATTATTTTGTTTAATTCAGACTGATAAAGAACATTTGACAGACAACGATGGAAAGCATTTGAGTAATGAGACTGCAAAGCGAAAACATCGTTGGAATGCACGTTTTCTTATAAAGACAATAGACGATTCTAATTTCAAATATAAACGATATAGTGTATGTAAAATCTTATTTTTGATCTAAGTCTTTTCTCTATTTTTATTTTTTTCTTCTAGCAAGATTTAAATCAGCGTCAACGTATTGAAGCTGAAACATTGTACGCAATGCAGCGTATGCTTTGGCTTAAACATTTATCTAAAGAGCCTTCTAGAGCAACAAATAACGATATTTTTATTCCGTTTGTTGAAATAAAAGAAAATTTTTGGACTGCCTGGCAAAAAAGTCAATTGTAGAAAAGTTTTTTAATAAATGTTATTTTTCAGTCATTGTAAATTTTTGTTGTATGCACATGTCACTTTTATCTACGCACTTCTACCGGTGTTTATTATTATTTTTGTTGTTATATGCACAGATTGTTTTTCATGTTTATTCATTTTTCCGAAATTTCTTTGCGAAAATATTCGTTTTTTAATATAGTTATTAGCTTTTGAGTAATTTCTATTTTTATTTGTGATTCATAATTCATCTTTTGTGAGATTAATCAGTTTTTATATATGTTGTAAATTTTTTGTTGTTTGTAACAAAAAATAAAAATTTGTATGTTATTTGTCAAAACGAGCAAGTAACTGAAGTGGTAATTCTCTTCATATGCTAAATCATATTCATAAATATGAAAAATTACAACGTTATTTATAAAATTAATCCCAAATTCTATTAAAAGCACAATGTACTCACCAAAGTACGTTGTTTTTGCCCGTTCTCACCCAAAAAATGAAAATTCACAATAAAGTAGTGTCAACCGATTCAAAAACTCCGATGAAAATATTTCATCTGTTTATAACAATTAAGAAAAATAATTTTATAAATACTGGTTGTAAATATTCGATCAACTTTGTTAGTAACACTACGAAATTTGATATTTCAACTCGATGAGCATCGACTAACTAAAAAAGCAAGAAAAGAGCAGAATTTTCCAGTTTTATGCGATGTTTAATTTTTCATGAGTATTTTCAATGAAGTTTGAATGAAACTAGAATAAAACAACGACAAAAAAGAAGCAGGGGCCTGTTTCTTAAAAAAACTTAAGTAGAAAATCTTACTTAGTCAAAAAAGACAAAGACTTTTTTGGACTTAAGTTTGACTTAAGTAAGATTTTCTACTTAAGTTTTTTTAAGAAACAGGCCCCAGGCAAATAAGACTGTTCATTGCAACATGACTGTATTTTAATGATAAACAAATTTGTTTTAACAGTTCTTGATTATATAATGAATAATTTTAAAACTCTGCAGAATGATAATGACTGTTCATTTTAGTTTTCCATCTGACAGCAAAGAGAACATTTTTCATTCGATTTCTATTATCCTCTTATAGAAATTTCTTCTGTACTGCTGCATCCGCACTCTTTGTATTTCTCTATTGTTTTAACATGTCGCTAAAATCAGACCAATAAGGGTAAATTAGAAAGTCAGGAGAATATTCCTACAACCAGCTCCTGATATCAGAAAAATTCTTATTATGAGAGAATGATCTGATATCAAAAAATCCGACAATCTTGAAGATTGTCAAATGAGAATAAATCGAACGTCTCGGATAGTTCCTGACACTTCTGATTCGCTGTTTTGTTATGCCACCTTGCATCCTATATAATAAACACTAATGTATAGAACACTTTCTTTCCTTAGTAAGTAATCACTACCGCAACACTATAAATGCCAACCAATATCCGGGTATAATTGGTTTCATTTATGGGTAAGGTTTTGAATAAGAATAAAACAAGTTTAACAGCAGAAGACAATTTCATTTTCATTTATTTATAAAACACTAGCACCTTTGATGTCTAAGACATCATCTTCAGGTGAAAATAACATAATCACAAAAGTACATTAACATACTTTTATGAAATAAAGTTTAAACAAACAAGCATACATTAACATGAAAAGTTCGGATTTTCAGTTGATGTACTTGACAAGTGAAGAAAGAACAGGTGGTCAGGTCAAGGATCGAATCCAAAATAAATGTTCAACTCGAATTACATGGTTAGATAGCCCAAACCAAACCGAGCAAGTCCGAGTCCGCTAGCTACCATGGCTCTCGGATGGCATAGCTTTTGCTGGGACTTACCTGTCTCAGTCTGATTAGTTCTGACAACCTTAAAAATAACCCGAACATAGGCTGCATGGACTCTGCATGGACGAGTGTTTATTTTCGAACCTCTAGTAGATGAAACAACCTATTTGTGCCTATTTTCGCTGAAAACTTCATTTCATTCAAAGCGTGCGTTTGTTTGCTTTGCTAATATCTGGTTTTTCTATAGTGTAATTTTGTGATTATGTTATTTTCACCAGCGGTTTTCGTTTTTTGGTAGTAAACACCGGGGGACATCGATCTATAAAAAGGTCAATATCTTGAGATACTCTTCGGAGAAAAGACTCTATTTTATCCGCTTATCCTGATTCTATACTTAAAATCAATAAATAATATTCTCTTAGTTTCGAAGGTTTCTGTGAAACCTTTCTGAAAACCAAAGTATTTTCTGTTGATTTTTCCAACATTTATTGAGCTTTACGGTATGCTGCAGATAAAATAGAGTATTTTCTGACATTCTGAAGTAGGTTGGATGCATTTTGACTGAGTTATGAATTTTTTAGTTTATAATGAAAATAATCAAAACTGGATTACTTCACCTATTATAGGTTTTCATTCGGTTCTTGCATTTTGTTCTGAAAACTAACATTGCCACGAGAGTCACCATAGTCGACAACCTATGTTTGCATATACTTTTACGATTCTCCTGGCTAAGGATCGTTCGATAGGTAGGTCTTCGGAGTACCACTGCAGTTTCTGAACCGTGGTAGATGGAGATCTGGGACTTGTGCAGATGTAACGAGAAGATGTCGCTCTATATTTGAGGCGTTTTTAAAGTATAGCTCGTTATGATCATTTTTGGAATGGGATGCCTCAGTTTTTCCTATGCGCGGTACACCGTGGTAGACCTGTCGGAAGATATTGACCTTTTTATAGATCGATGTGTCTCGGTGTTTACTAACAAAAAACGAAAACCGCTGGTCTGTTCAAAAGTTATTCAAAAAACACCGGAGGATACTATATTTTGAAATGGGTAGTAGTATAATGCTTTTATTTTAAATCACAGACTATAAGTTATAGTGACAGCATGTTAACTTCTTATTATGCTTTAATCTTGCATGCGTTCTCTATTGAATTATACTTATTTGTGTCATTGACACACTTTATTATTTATAGAGTTAAATTATTTACTTTAAACAACTATATGAGTATGTGGCTATTGTTCTCAAAAAAGATTTTGAACAACAACAGTATAGCATACTGAATAGAACCAATCCCTAAATAGAAGCATAAAGAAGCTAATAAATACATCTTATGTGTATGGTTGTCTAGATAGAGACGCCCTTACAATTACCTTATTCTTGTCTCACGAACCATGAGAACAGGAAGGTTTTGTGAAACTTTGCTGAAAGGAAAATTCGCCGTTACCTGCAAGGTATCGAAAGTCACATGTTCTTTTTCAATAACAGTCAATTACGCTAAAAATACCAGAAACAACTGTAGAAAGAGAACACTACGGATAACAAAGAAGATTGATAAACAGTTAGCTCATTTTGTGCTAATTTGTTGGAAGCCATCAAATAGTTAGTTTAAACTATTTTATTTAAAATAAGAAAGTAATAACTAGTAATGATCAAAAGCGGGTGGGGGAGGAGCACTCATGATAGGGATCATTACACTCATGATAGTGATCATTTCACTCATGATAGTAATCATTAACACATGACAGTGATCATTGCACCCATGATAGTGATCATTACACTCATGATAGTGATCATTAAAAAAGTTTACTTTGCGCAGAGTTTCTTTCTTTGATCGTACCATGGTGAAAAATTTTAGACAAAGGAGCCAGAAAAAGACATTGAAAGAATGGTGTGAGTGAGCGCTTTTGAAAGCCGCTAAAATCAACTTCAGAGATTATTATTTCTTTTGGATGCAGTTGTTTCTGGCCTTTCTTATCATATCCAACAGATTTGAAGGTGACTTTTGTTCAATATTATGCAGAAAAATTAGATAATTTTCTTACTTATTGTGGGTTATTACCAACAAATAGCCGAATTAAGTTAAACAATGAATCTAAGGTTTTTTCTCTTTAATTTAGGGGAGCGTCAAAAGTATTAACTGAGTAACCGGAGTAGTCGTGAAATAATATTCACTGGGATGTTTGTATACGAGAAAAAAATATCTTTAAATAAAATCTATCTTTCCGATAAAATCTATCTTTTGCTCTTCATTTTATTCATTTTTTCTTTATTAACTATTATATATATA